GCGGTTTCAGTAATTATTGTGAACTCATTACTTGACTTAAGCAATTGTAATTATAGATATTTAACCTATATCTCCTGTTGCATATTTTTCTGCATACATGTGATAATTTATAATAAGAAGTAGAGTTTCTTTCGATGTTGATAACATTAGCCCCGCCTAAAATTGCCTAAAGTTATATCAAGGTATAATCGAATGAAGAAAGCGAAACACGAGTACTGATGTAATTTGAGACGTGTTAAAATATTTAAATTAATCACGAAGTTTCTCCTTATGGAAGATGTAATTGTTAGCGTAGTGGCAAGTCGGCACTGTTAACTTTAATATAGTAAAAAATTATCTCTGTTATCCAAATATCCGTTTAACCGAATGTTCGATTATCCAAACAATTATAACATGTTATTAAACAGAACATGAATAGATAAATGATAAAAAGATAATCGAACACGTTCGATTATCTAGAAAAATCGACTATCCAGACATCTTGTCATTTGACTAGTTCGAATAATATAAATAAGATTCTATTGCATTTATTTTTTGCTAATATGTAGGAGCCGTAAATTCGAAACTAGAGTAACTAATTAGGAATTAACATTCAATTATACGATTAATCTGTAATTTATATCTAACGATGGAAGTGCTAAGGAATTTAATATATTTTTAATATCTATTAAAATATTCTCTTTAGATATCTAAAGCGATAAATCTGAAGATATATAAATTTGTAGATTTTTAAGTATGAATTTCTTTCGCGCAAATAAATTAAAGAGCGATATGAGCCACATGCAAAATATATTTCAATCTTGATTTTAGAATGCAGAGTTTTTTTTCCATTACCTTTCGTATGCAGAATTTTTTTTTGTAAGCCTACAATCAGTGGAATGACACTACTCCGCCTATTTAATTATTGTTGCTGGAATTGCATAGTACTACTAGCAATCCTTTGTCGTCAGTTTGATGTGTCATTTCTATATATTGTCTATTATTTATAATTATAAAAAAGCACAACGTGCGATACAATCTTCATTTTATTTAATGTTTATTTTGTAAAACTTTTTAATAGTCCCCTTGTTGTTTTAATTCGGGGTTAATCAATACGATTCTTAAATATTTTTTCCTTGTAGTAATTAATTTATACAAATTATTCAAACTGATTCATTTCATTAATTTTGTTTTGATTGCCTATGTACATATACTTACAATATTATTTTATCGATGAGTTTGATGTTTCAATGTAATTTTATAATTAATTTGAACCGAATATAAGTGACTTTTTTTTGTTATAGACAATGAAAATTATAATTTAAATTATTTGCGATACAACTTGATTTTATACGGCAATATTTGAGATATTAAATGTTAAAAATACATCGCCAAATCCCTATATGCATAAGAATCTTCCACAAAAAAATTTCAATGTCGCGCGACATGGAAGTTGCATAAGAATAATCAATATTAAACTTCGGTTCATATGCACAAGGTTGAATTCAACCGTTTGCATGACTTCTTTTCTTACATTTTAATATACAAAGTATCAAAAGAAAGATTTTAAAATACATTGAAGGCATATTAATATTCCTTAAATTAGTTAATCAACATCAATTCGAAATATGCCTCTCTTTTATATCTTTAGAATATTTTTGTCAGAATATATCTCGTTTTCGATATATCTTATCTTACAACTTTTATATGCAAAATGACGAGAAAAGAATCAATTTTATGCGAGGCAAAATATATGATTCCTTTAAATAAATGGAGGGGACTCGCTTTCCTGAAGGATTTGACAACGGTATTTATCTACAATCTATTTGTCTCTCAAAAGGAATCATTCAACAAAATATTTGTTCCTATCCCTAATAGTCGATTATAAAAAATAGCTTGTAATATTTTACAGCTTTAAATTAAATTTATTGTCTGTGATATCCTATTTACTATACCTTCCATTACGCATCGAAAAAGTGAAAACGTGCGTTTTACTTCTTTCCTCGGAAAAATCTTGGCTATGCAAAGTGTCCTCTATTAATATTCATGTTTGCAGAGTGTCACGACGACGTCGTCAGGATTGTCAATATGTGTGTGCGTTACGGGGCCGTCTGCATACCATTCGGTGGTGGAACCAGCGTCAGCCGCGCGGCGTGCTGTCCCCCGGATGAACGCCGAACGATAATTTCATTAGATACGTCGCAGATGAATCGAATATTATGGATAGACAGGGATAATTTGTTAATATGCTGCGAATCGGGCATCATTGGCCAGGATCTGGAGCGAATGCTTCATCTTCAAGGATTCACGTGCGGCCACGAGCCCGATTCTTATGAATTCTCCAGGTACACTATTAACAGGTCCCTCTTCAATTGTATAAAATTTGTATATCAACGTATCTGAGATATATATCACATTGTAATGACGATGGACGAAATGGTTCACTTTCGATGAAAGAAAATTCAGTTGTTTCTTTATAATACGTGTCTAAAAATTGTTTTTCTATGAAATTAGTGTATCAATATTGATATTTAATCAATACTGAAATACTTTTTATTCGCTAAATTCAGTTAAAATTGGCAATAACTTTTCCAATAATAATTCGCATTTTGCTGTAAAATAAAATTAAAAATTGATTTTATATAAAATGTGAATTGTATGTATTTAGCAAAAGATACACATTATATAATAGAAAATGATAATAAACATTTTGAAAGAATGCAATACACACACACACATAAAACACACATTTAGCCATAGGATGATATACAATTAAAAAAAGCTTTTTCAGTTAATATGAATAATGAATAATGTCAATTAGCATCTTGCAGCGTTTTGTCTAATGATGTTAGTATGTATGGATGTCACAAACAACAAATTATTATATTTGAAATATTTAGATATATGAAGACACATAATAATTAATACATATAACATAAGACATACTCTTTGTCATTGAAATCTTCTTTTAGAATTCAATATTTTAGCCCAGAGTGAGCGACAGCTATCTTAAATGCGCAACACATAAAAGACAATCCATATACATTCATCTTTCTCCGTAAAAAATATCCAATATAGATTCCATACTTTACACCAAACATATTTCAAAGATACACTGCATGCATCAGACACTTAGTCCCGAACGATAGAGATAATAATTAAAGCTGTTTTCTGTAATGTGAAAAGAAGAGAAAAAAGATATAAATGTGTACACAAGGCAAGGTTGAAAATAACTTGTCTGGAACAGTTTAGGTGGATGGGTGGCGACTAGGGCGAGCGGCATGAAAAAGAACACATATGGCAATATCGAGGATCTGGTCGTGCGAATGCGAATGGTCACTGGCAGAACGGAGGATCCAGTTATCACATTGGAAAGAGGTACTTTGGTACCACGCGCGTCTTGCGGTCCGGACTTTGATCACACAATTCTCGGCAGCGAGGGAACTCTCGGTGTGGTCACGGAAGTCGTGTTGAAAATAAGACCGTTACCGCGAGTAGTGAAATACGGAAGTATTGTGTTCCCGAATTTTCCAAGTGGCATTCAAGCGTTACGAGAGGTACGTATCCTTCATGTGTTGACTTTCTCATTAACCGACGAGGCCCGTGCTTCTTTGCTAACACTTGTCTAATACAAATACCGTGACGACAGCGGTGAAAGAGACAGCTCCATTACGTACGTCCGGGTTTTAGAAATAATAAAAGGGAAGCACAGCCCCCGCCCCCTCCCTCCTCCTGTTGCGAGTAAGAAATATCAAACAGAATATATAAGTGCTCTATGAATATGTATAGATCGCGAAGGAACGATGTCAACCCGCCAGCATACGCCTAATGGACAACGAACAATTTCAAATGGGACAAACTCTACGCCCGCAGGCCGGCTGGGGTGGCCTGATGTTGCAAGGACTTAAACAAATGTACATCACCAGAATAAAAGGTTTCCAATGGAATCACATATGCGTGGCCACGTTGTTGATGGAGGGCGACGCGGCGGCGGACGTTGCGGCTCAAGAACGTAAAATTTACAAGATAGCTGACAAGCACGGCGGCATTCCGGCAGGCGAGGCAAATGGTGAACGTGGTTACATGTTAACGTTCGTGATAGCATACATCCGCGATCTCGGACTCGAGTTTAATGTATTAGCAGAATCGTTCGAAACTTCCGTTTCTTGGAATCGCGCGTTATCACTCTGTAGAAATGTCAAGTCTCGTGTGGCCAGGGAGTGCCACGCGCACGGCGTACGCAAATATTTTATTTCCTGTCGCGTCACGCAGACGTACGACGCAGGTTGCTGCATATATTTTTATATGGCGATCAGTTACGTGAACATAGAGAAGCCCGTTGAAACTTACGAGACCATTGAGCACGCGGCGCGTGAAGAAATATTCGCGAGTGGTGGATCTCTTTCGCATCATCACGGAGTAGGCAAAATACGGGCGTCCTTTTATCCCGAGGCCGTCGGAGAAGCCGGTGTTTCCCTTTATCGAGCGACCAAGACACACTTGGATCCACATAATATATTCGCAGCTGGTAACTTGGTTTCAGGATATAAATCAAAACTGTGAATCGTACGCGTCACGTGAAGCTATATATGTGGCACTGGAGAATAATCTGTAGAGCTGTTCCGTACTCTATTAGTGTGACGGTTTGCCAATATCTTAAACCGTCATGGACAGTATGGTCGCCGCGGCAGATTGATGCGATTTCGTATACTTTGATGGAAAGTTAAGGTATCTCATCAACTTGTTATTAGGATTATTCTGCGCGCGATGTGTTTTAACGCGAATCTCGTTGACGGAATGCCGTTACTAGTGTTAGAGAATAATTCGAGGAAAAAATTCGATATTTCTATCAATGGAAATATGCGAATGTACGTAGATAGCGAATGTTTCGAGGCAACTGGCATTGTCGTTTACTAACTCGCCATAATAGTTATAGAGAAAGAAAGAGAGAAAGAAAGAAAAAGAGAGAGACTAGTATATATAATAATTATGCACCGGCGTTGTTTGGTACAAATGCGGAATTGTAATAATTGTATCGGCATTTTTATAAATTATTATAACTAAACAAAACACACACGTTTACAAGATATCTTAATCTATCTCTACTTACTATCATACCGGCTATTTGAGTTTAGGTACGATGTATGTCATTCTTCTTAATATTAACATTTAACAAGAACGCAATGCGATTAGATTAAGAATTGATTAATTTTTAATCAGATGTGTAAATTATTTTTTAAATACATAAATTACTTAAGTGGTCGCTTTTGGCCACTGGGATGCGCTATAACTTCTGAATTGCGCGTAAGCGAGAGTTTGCAGTCGGAGCTGATTTCTACAATATGTTCACTCGATTTTGTGTGGCAACTTCCACTCCAAAATGAAAGTACTCGATGAGAACTTACCGAATTCTAATCTACGTTCAATGATTTATCGAGGTACAAGCTTACTGGCTATCAGCCTTCAGAGTGGATAAAAATGAGTCGAGATCGTATTCATCATCGTACTGTTGCTGTTCCCAGAGCTCAGGTAGAATATCCAACACAGAACGGCTGAGCCCTGGTAGGCCGGGAAGTTTTGACAAAGCAGCGTCCTCGTGATGATCCGTTTTCTTCTCCTTGCCGTTATCCAACGAGAATAAATCTAACAACTGATTATATCTATTATATATCTCCTTTAAACGAATTTGGTACATTAGGCAGTAATCGTGTTTATTTACCTGATCGGTAGCCATGGTTTCCAGTGAAGCGTTCTCCGTTGATATTATCGTATTCGCAGTGAGGAGCTTAAACTTCTGCAGTCCCATGATCTTCTCCTCTACTGTCGATCTGGTGATCAAGCGATATACATTGACCACCTTCTTTTGACCTATACGATGCGCGCGGTCCATTGCTTGGAGATCTTTCATGGGATTCCAATCGTGTTCCACGAATATGACAGTGTCCGCTCCTGTTAAGTTTAGTCCAAGACCACCGACCTGGGTAGTCAGCAAGAGAACGTCTATCGATGGGTCGGCGTTGAAACGTGCCACGACCGAGTGTCTCTGCGCTGCCGGTACGCTACCATCGAGACGGAGATAAGTCACCGTCGGCAGATGAGTGCGTAATAAATCCTTCTCCACAATGTCTAGCATCGCTTTCAATTGACAGAAAATCAGAACGCGATGTTGGCTAACTAACTGCTGTTCTTGGGTGCTTTCCGCGGCAAGATTCGCGGTGACTGAGGAATTCGAACGAGCTTGCTGTTGCTGCTGTTGTCCAATACCGCAATCTAGTAACAGTTGCTTCAGCGCGGGTAACTTGGCACCGTGCTCGATTTCCGCCAGTGTGCTCTGTTGCTGTTTCAACATATCGCAAACCTAAAAATGTTACAGAATAATTGAATATGATGATAAAAAATATCACATTATGTACGATTTAAAAACTAAAAATTGTGGAATTTGAAAAATTTAATATCTTGAAACAAGAAATGTTTATCGTTTCCTAAAATACTTTTCTTTTAACACATTTCTTTCTGAATATTTTTTCTAAAAGTATATACCGTTTGATAAAGTGGATGCCGTTGACTTAGCACCAGCTTAGGATGATTACAAACATTACGCAAGTATCGCAGCGCCTCGAATACGTGACCGCTTTGGGGATCGCTCGAAGACGAGGAGCCGGAGGAGGTAAGAGTAGCCGAATGACGAGTGCGAAAATCCTCATAAAGTATACGTTGCAAAGGCGACAAATCGCAGTAATAATCCTGTGTGATTTTGGGAGGCAAATCTTGTAATACGTCTTCCTTGTTTCGTCTCAGTAAGAAGGGCAGTACCTGTAGTATAACATCAATTTCTATCGTTATAATCTGATCTAAAACGAGACACTTTCACGATAATAATAACCGTAAACTAACCTGTCGATGAAGAGCCTCCATGGCTAAAGCACCAGCCTCCTGTTCCTTCGGTCCTGCTTTTGGTTCTCTACAAGCCAAGATAGGACGGGAATATCTAGCGGCAAATTGTTTTTCGCTGCCGAGAAAGCCCGGCATCAGAAAGTCAAATAGAGACCACAACTCGAGCACATCATTCTGTACCGGTGTGCCGGACAATATGAGCCTATAATTGGCGTGCAGTCGTTTCGCAGCTTTGGCACTCTTCGTCTTACCATTTTTTATCACATGGCCTTCATCAAGCACGCAGTAATTCCATTGATGTGTCTCGAAGAATTCAATATCCTTTCGTACAATGTCGTAACTCGCGACGACGAGTCTGTGATGCGACACCCGGGGACGCAGCTTTTCGCGTTCTTGTGGTGTCCCGGCATATTGAATAACCGACAAATCTCGTGCTTTGAAGAATTTCTCGGCCTCATATACCCAGTGACCTGTAAGAGTCGGCGGACATACCACCAGACTACTCGGCGCCTGTGGATTACGATGATGGTGCAGTGCCAGTATGCAAAGAGTCTGTAACGTTTTTCCAAGACCCATGTCGTCGCACAGGACTCCGTGAAGATGGTAACGATTCAGGAAATTCAGCCAATTCAAACCCTGATGCTGATAAGAACGCAGTTCCGCAGCTACGGGAATTGGTAGCTCCGTATTGGGAATATTACGGGGATTCAGAAGCTGATCCAAGAATTTTCGTTCCTGCGTCTTCTCTTGCCTGTAACGCAATGTTATCATTTGTTTTACTCTTTTATGCTTGGTTATACTTTTTGATGACAGGCACAATTAGTGAATGAGACAATGAGTTTTTACAGCTTGCATTAATAATTCAAGTTTTAATTAAAAGTTATTGAAATAAAAAGTTATTGAAATATATTGTCTGTGGAATCGACCGTTATTTCAATTTTTAAAAACTAAAGTGATTTTGCAAAAATTTCGTCACGTACATTAAATGCACTCTTCCTTATGTACACTCATAGAAAAATAACTTACACCAAATCCGGTGGGTCTGCGACTGCGCCAGGATCCAGCGGTAACAGTTGCACGAGTGTAGCGAATGTCGCGCTACAAACCAATCTTACAGCTTGATTCTGATCGCTCATACGTCCGAGTAAGGGTACCATGAATAATACAGCGTACGGTATCACTTGTACCCCTAAGCTCTCTACGATGCAGGCTAGAGCTTCCGTGGCTCCCTGGCGTATGGAATCGACTTTATTTGGTGCCACTATACCCGAGGAACATTTTTTTTCACCGCCGGTCGTCTCTAAAAGTGGTATAACGCTTCGTATTATGTGTACCATTGTCTAAAAAAGAATTTTCCAATATTATGATTTATTGTATATGTATATGTATCACTCTTATCCTGTGCGTCTGATAGAGTTTAAATATTACCTTCTCCGCATCTAGAGTTGCTAATATAGCTATACACCGCGAAGCCATATGCCTAACAGCTTTATACGGATGCGCTAATAAATTGCATAAACGCGGTAAACATTCTAATGCGGGTGGTAAGAGAGATTTATCCAAACTAGGTGCCATGATCTCCAACACTTGTAAACTAAATATCAATTGATTTCCATCTTCTTCTTGTATATTATCTTGCTTGTTCGTATCTTTTAGTACATCTGGTAAAATCAGGTCCCACAACTGAGGCAGACGGACAGGTAACCGAGCACCGAAGAGAGTAGCTTCAAGAATACAGGAATGTTTTTTAAGATACACAAAAAAAAAATTGTACAATGGATGAATCATCCATATACATAAATATTAATTACATATTAATTAAGATTTAATAGATTGTTTTTTTTTTTTTGTAGAGATTAGAGAAAATCGGAGACTGTTAAATATTAATTAATTTTAATTGATATATGTATTTGAACAATTACATTATTTTATTCTTTTTACATACCTATGGCTGTTAATGCTAGCGTAGCTCCACGGCGTCGCGTTCTGGCAGCTTTGGCTTCTGGTTCTTCGCAAGCGAGCAACTCTTCTAGAGGAATCTCGGTCGTTGGTGGCCTACCGGGGCCTCGACTACCGCCGAGTCCACTACTTGCACCACGATTATACGCTATTCTCTCGGCGTGCTTTTGCCTGTTATTTAAAGTGAGTATTCCATCAAAAATATCATTATCGCCGGCGCAATATATTCGCGGTGTGAATTCGACATCAGAACATAGGAATGTACATAGATTGGTAGAAATCTGTAATAGACAACACATTTTGTAACATATAGAAAAGATTATTATGGATATTTTGTATTATGTTTGTTTTCATTTTCAATATGATTTGACATGTGCTATTTTATATGCAAACCTTTGCGTTCGGAGAAGGTTTCCTGTCGACACAAAGATCGACTAGATGAGACAAATGTTTTGCAGCCAGTTTCTGCAATTCCTCATTCTCTTCCCGTTTTATAGCTTCCATCAGCGGTTTCACCAACGGATTGAGCGGCTGTGGAGGTTGGGGAAGGCAATGTAACATTGTGGCGGCGCCAGCAAGCGCGGCCATTGACATAACGTGCAACGATTGTTGTTGCGCCGCCGTCGTAGCCGCTCCGACGTCCAACGCTCGCCTCCTCTCCTCTAAACTCTCTATTAATTTAGGTTTCAATTTAATAGATATCGAACAGCCGCTGATATTTCCAGCTCCGCCTGCGTTTGCTCCCGCGGTACAGAGGGTAGGAATCGTTTTCCCAGCAAGTGCCGCGATCTGATCGAGAGTCATTACGCCGGACGAATCTACATCAACCGGCACAGGCAGCTTATAATGCTTCAAAGTCGCGATGTAATCGCGACTTTCGTGCAGCAATCGAGTAAAGGAAGCCGCAATTTCGTCGTAGTACATACATTCGTTTAAACAAGCCAATAGTCTGTCGCTTTAAAAGAAATGTTTCTTGTTATTAATATAAATATTAAAGTAATAAATTTAGCCTTTTTACAGAAATTGCATATTCGTACCTGAGTATATCTGGTATCTCGGGTGGCTCCAGGGGAGCTACGGTCGCCCAATGAGACATCGTGAGTCCGACGACTGTGCGTTGTAATGCTGATCGCGAATTGAGATGCGCTAGTAATACCTTGGCGTAACATAGCGCTGGGCTGGGCACGTCCGGTGGATAAATCACGCCCGGCGCGGGCTGTACGACATAGTGCGACAATAGTCCTAACATACGAGATGCTCTACAACGAGCCTGCACCACGTTCGCTTTTCGTACGTTGAGCGCCACTGTTTCGATACCGCCAATATACATTTTCAGCTCGGATAACGTTTTCGCAGTCGCGTTTACGTTTCCGCCATTACTGCTGGTATCCGATTGTCCATCGCAGTAGGTGACCGTTTGATTATTCTTCGCACCCTTAGTGATGCCACTAGTGACGATCATTAATAGATTCGGATTGAATGGCACGTATTCCGGCTGCATAGCAAGGCAAAGCCATGTACTGACGTGCGGGCACGCCGCGTGTAGCAATAACTCGAGATCACTCTGTACGACTAGATTCTCCCAGACACGCTCGGCCACGTCTTGTATTGCGGTAATATGTTCAATCAGCACACACTGAAATACATGTCGTAATGCTTCCTGCAGAACTATTCCGCCACCATCGCCCCACCGTTCTTTCTTATCCTCGTTGCGATCGCCGTCATCCTCGGTCAAAGTCTGCAGCGTTCGCAGCGTGGCTTTACGTACACTCGAACTCGAGTGGTTGAGAAACGGCCATAAACGTGGTAACACCTAAACATAGACATTATTCAATCATTAATTTCGATATTCTCCGAAATAATAAAGAGATATCGATACATTACCTGTGATAACGGTTGAGGCGTCAAGCAAGCGTGTGCCGACGGTAATGAGAGTATCGCGGCCAAGAGACCCATAAAACTATTACAAGCCGCGGCCAAGTCGTCTTGTTCCTTTAACAATTGCCAAAGACGTATCACGATCGCTTCTAGTTCCGCTGGTTCCAACAATCGCGGCAGGGCATACGCCACTGGTATAAGCGCGCTCGCGGCGGCCGCACCCACATCGTCCACGGGATCAGAAAGTCCTTGTATAATAACGGGAAACACCCTCGGCAACATCTCGTCCAATAAATCGTCTCGTACGGCCAATAAATATTTGAGTGCAAGAAGCGCACCGTGTCTGGCTTCCCATTCGTCATGTCCCAAGAGTTTCAGCACTATGGAGAGTATTCCGTGAAAAACGCCATTAATATCTTTAGCTTGTTGGCCGCCGGGCATTAATAAGAAGAGCGATCCCAACGCTTGTGCGCACGTTTCTCGTACTGGCGCAACAACTTGGTCAGAAACAAAGTCTCCAAATCGATCGAGTCCTAATACGCATAATAACCGTAAAGCGGCGTCCGTTATCCACTCATAATGGCTTTCTTGCATTTCTTCTATGGTCTGAGCTCTCGATTTGCCCGCTCCTGTGCATTTCAAACGCGTACATGTAACGGTTTAGTATTATTCGGGAAAATACAGAGACATCAATAAAGCATTTACACACCTTTTCCATGGAGTCTTATGAGTTCCCGTAAAGCTGTCGCTGCCCCATGACGCACTTCCCATTTTTGACTGAATAGATCTTGGCACAAGCTTTCTGCAAAAGGTTCTAAAGGCCAATTTACAACAGAGTCGGGCCAGCATCCAGTCCCATCTGGCACTCCGCTTACGAGCTCGCTGGGTACGCTGCATTTCGATCCAGCGTCTGATGAGATCATTTCCTCTAATATCAATTTTTTGACCGGGGGTTCAGTATTAGTCACTGGCGATTGAGCATTCGTTGAATTCGAATGGTCATCGTTAGCGCGATGATCCTCTGGTTCGCGTGATCGCTGTTTCGACACTGATTGACGCGCCTATATTATCAAGAAATAATTAATATTTGCATTAGAATATTTAATAAAATATATAAAGCAATTTTTCTAAAATATTTATTTGCTTGTATAACCTAATCAATAACTTATACAAAATGTTGGTTATAAATAAGTGCTCAAAAGTGTAATACTTTTCGTTTTGCTCTGTTCATTTCTCTTCTGCTCAATCCTCCTGGTTGTTTCAAAGTTTCATCGACAGATATCGTGGTGACTTGTGTCATCTGCACCATTGGAGTAAGATCTTCAACGGTAAATAAATCAGCAGTATCGACGCCCATCAAACGTGGATGAAAACCCAGCTTTGCGGCTAGTTTTTCCTG